ATATAGGGCCGACACTCTAAACAATCAAATCAGAGCCCACCTCAAAAATTTCACTAGAAAGGTGGTTTTGATGCCCAAATATCCTCAGATTGATCATCTCAACATCAAGATGCATGGACATGAGAAAAAAATGGATTTCAAGTTTTGGAAATAGTGCATCTTACGATGCATTTTTGGACTATCAATTTTCAAGATTTTCAAGTTTTCAAGATCTGCTCAATCTACACTATTTTTGAAGCTTTAAATTTTATAATTAAAGATGAAAACATATTTTAAAGCTATCACAAAGATTTCCAGTATTGAAACCACACTTCTCGACAAGGTGCACTTTACTTTGATTGTTTAGAGCCTCAACTCTATACAAACTGAACCCTATATATATTTATATATATACAAAAAGTTTATATAAGTTTGACATCTTCAAATGCAGAATTAAGGTGCACTTCTAGAATCCATCGAAAAAGGTTGTTTTGATGTTGGAAAAACATCTAATTGAGCATCTCAACATCGAGATATATAGTTATGGATAAAAAAAAGGGATTTCAAGTTCGGATTACTTCTAACCACATCCTTTTGGGCCTACCCCTTGCCATTTAGGTGTGGCACCAATAGGCGATAAGATGAAAGCAGTGTTTAAGAAAGGCTAGACGGGTCCAAGGTGGCTTGGGGGGTCCAGGCCGCCCAGCGCCTAGGCGGGCGCCCTGGTGGGTCTAAGGCGGCTTGGGGGGTCCAAACCGCCCAGCGCCTAGGCAGGCGCCTAGGCAAGCGTCCAAAACCTGGGCGGCCCAGTCGAATCCAAAAAGGATGCCCAGTCAAAGATGCTTCTAAGGAATCAAAATCTTATAAAATACCCCCCAATAGATTTATAAACCATCAAAAATTAAATCTAATATCAATAGGGGGATGTTTTGATCAATTTTTGTCAACTTTGAAAAAAAATAAAATTTCCACCTCTGGGCGAGGCGCCAGCCTAGGCGGGTTCCGTACCGCTTAGGCAGGGCGCAAGCCTTGGGCGGCCGACCGCCTAGGCGGGTTCCGTAACACCTAGGCAAGGTGCGGCCCTGGGCTGGGCGGCGAGTTCCGTACCACCTAGGCGGCCTCCCAGGGACTACCGCCCAAATTGGTTGCCTAGGCTTGGGCGATGCGCCCAGGCCTTCTGGACCGCCTAGGCGCTAAGCGGTCCGCTTTTTGAATCACTGGATGAGAGAGAGTAGACTTAGGTGGGCTGGCCATGTGTGGCGCCGACCAAGTACAGCACCTGTTAGGACGTCGAAGGTGCGAGTTATTTCAAGTGGTTTACTTAATGATAACATATTCGCTAATCTTTTTAAAGTGAATATTGTAAATCAGTTTGTCTTGGCTCCTCAATTTCTAAGATAGTAATTCATCACACCATTCTCTATGTTAGGGACCATTGACCAAGCACACACACTTTAATATAGTTCCGAGATTAAGTTGATTATGGAGATCGGACTTAGCGGGTCTCATTTAATATTAATGTGGGAAGCCGATTATGATGCTCAATTCACCCAGTTTACCACTAAAGATATATGTGCACCCCTTGTTATACCCACTACTGAATCACTGATAGCGCAAAATCATGAATCAAAATCAAGGGAAGCATGCAACAAGAAGCTTAAATCCATACAAGGGGTAACGAGTATCCTCAATTAAGGATGGCTATTGAATATCACATGTGAGAATGAGAGAGAGAACATGGATATGGTGAAAGAAACATGGAGCTATGGCATGGGAAATGTCAAGCATATATGGGTGGAGCAATTTTGGAACAGTGAGGGCTAGCAAAGTCAAGGTTGTACAGATGCTAGGAAGCGTTTTCCCTTACTGTTGTACTAAGGTAAATCTCAGAAAATTTCAGTCAAGTATACTCAAGGAAAACCAAGGTTTAAAACTATGCCAAGATAAGAGCATAGTAAACTATGCATGTAGGCAAACCATACAAGTGTGCAAGGATTGAACAACAACAACTTAGGAGAGCATATGGGATAGTATTGGTATACCTTGCTGTTGTTGATCAAATTACAGCTAGAAGGTTGATGTAATGGTGAAGAAAATATGATGTTGAAAGGCTCTTCAAGTTGGGCTCCAAGGTGCTCCATGTCTAAAGGGCGCTTACCTCTTCTCAATCTCTCTCTTTTCTTTCTTAGGGGACACTAATGTTTCCAAGGAGGGGGACATGCCTCTGTTCTAAGTTTCTATTCTCTCACTTAGGTTATGAGAAAATCAGGGTTTGAAACCTTGTACTAATAGGAAGGTGTGTGGAAGCTCCATGTGATTGATTATGAACTATTAATTACGAGCATCCAAGGGTGAGAGTCCTAGCCCTTCATCTCATATAACGGCTATCATGTGTGTTGATGAGGTTTGCCACACATTTATCTCCTCCAAACCTAGTTCCATCCCCAAATTTCCCTCATTTAATATGCATTTCAATTTGAACTTTGAAAACCAAAGTTAATCAAAGTGAGATAAATTAGGTGGGCGTCCCACCTCCTCATTTCTTCTCTCTCTAACTTTATAAAATTCAAATTCGAAAACTTACGTTTCTCACTCTTATTCAGCAAGGCTTCAAACTTGTTGGGTCATCATAACACACACATGTTGTCATAAGACAATGATGTGTTATCATAACACAAGTGTTCAGACATGTAACCAATCAAATTTTCCCACATAAAAGATGGTTAGAAAACTTTGCTTCTCATTGGATCAAGCTCCATAAATTGTGAAAAAGGGCAAGTCCTGCAGGTCACTCGCATGTGCAAGACCTTCACACATGCAAATGCATATAACAATATCACACAACTTGATATGTCTAAAACCAAACAAGGACTAAAGCACACACCACCCAACACTGCCAACGTCATCCACACATAAGCAGTGCGTGGTGATGTGGCAGCCACACGGTCCTGAACCCTATTTTGATCAAGCAGTTTGAAAAACCTCAATTTTTCTCTTAGAAAAATTCTCAAAAATCTCTAAAAAGTCATATTTAATCATACTCCATCAAATAAAATCAGTTTGGTGCCTAGAAAAAATATATTGAGGTATATTATGATTCTTTATAAAATGAAATCAAACTCTAAGGCATTCCACTTGGCAAGATCTGGAATCCTACATCATTTTCCCAAATTAACCCAACAAGGCCCATGTCCCACCAACTTTGTGGCAGGGGCACATGTTTGGCTTATCAAAGTTAACCCAATGGACGGCCGGACTTTGAATTTGTAGTGGATTGCAAGTGCACCTCTAAGGATGTGCACTCTTGCAGATGCAGGGGTTCATCCTCTTAACACATGTGCATAGCTCTTTCAAGTGGACCATGTCGCATCTGTATATCCACATTGTATGAGAAGGTCGAGGTCAGGGATTTTGTCTCATGTCCTCTTAAAGCCTAGTCTTCTCACACAAGGTTTATTCTCACACTAGTTTCTCGAGCAACAGACATTCCCAGATCCATACATAAATGATACTCATGCACTGGCTGACAATCATGAGAGTACTCGCACCTACCCTGACTAGAAGAGACCTTCAAACCTCTTGGTTTAAAAGCACTCCA